ATAATCCATGTGCCCACGATCAAACGGCCCAGATGCGTTCCCGTGCGCGTGGACGGTCCGGATTCGTTCCCTCCTAAGGCGCGATTGGATGGTCGCGATTAAATATGATAAACGATTCAGATTCATTCCCTCTTTAAATGTGATCATACGGTCAAGATCAAATCGCGATGAATGGTCCAGATTTATTTCATCTTTAAACGCGATTAGACGGTCGAGATCAAATGCAATGAACGACCCAGATGTAAGGGAGATGGGTATAAATATCTTACATCACATCGAACTCAAATCCTAGCCGTCGGCCCCTTATCAGAGAAGAAAAACCAGTCGTTGGAGAAGGGAGCTGATTACCGCCCGTCGCCGTGTTGAAGCCACCTCTGACCACTAAAAAAGGTAAAAATTCTCCTGTCTGCTCAGAATTTAATTTTGAACACCTCCACGGCAAAATCGGAGCAAAACGAATAGCAGATGAGTAGAAAACAGCAGATAAAACTCAGTGGTGCTACCGTCAGCAAAACCCAAAATCACATCCGATGAGCCCCTTTTCGTTTCCTATTTCGTGCGATTTTTTCACCATTATGTTCACTGTTATGTTTTCTACAGGTTGACTGAAGAAAAATGTCCAGCCGCAAAGGTGAGCCGGTGAGCCACGCACCAAAAAATTCTGCCGTCGATAGGTTTTTATTTTTTGACTTTTTTTGGGCAAACCAAGGCCCTCTAATATGTTTTCTAGTATGGATGAGTATAAAATCGGCCAAAACTGACCAAAATCGGCTTAAAACGGCCAGTCCGAGGCAAATATCGTCGTGGGCGGCGGTGTCGCCGTGTCAGAATTTTGAAATTAGTCAGAAAAGGTTTTTAACACCGATTTTGAATTTTTTGGGATATTTTTAGGTAAGTGAAGCGTGTTTTAATCTCCACATAAAAATTCAGGAAATCCAGAGACTGTCAGTAAGCGCAGCTAAAAGTTCAGTATTTCGGACACCGATTCGGGTAAGAATCCCTCACCTTATTTTCTGTTATAAAATTGAAGTTTAATTATCAATAATGCAGTATTTTTCGTAATTTAAAAAACTTTTGAGAATTAATTACAAGTTACTAATGGAGCCAGAACCGGTTATTTATTATTGTTTGTTCTGTTTAATTGATTGTTTGATTTTACAGTTTTAAATGCATGATAATATACTAGAACTGGTAAAATGATTTAGTTGTATTTTCTTGATGCATGTATTGTTTGTCTTATGTTGATTTACGGTTAGATTGTGAAATTAAAAATTAAATGTAAACGAAAAATTAATTAGTTAAGTGAATAAATGAATGATAGCCTTACTGAACATCCTAGGAGATGATGGATAGAGTGGGTATATAGAGAACCTTACTGTGAACGTCGCCTCATACCAGACGGGGTATCGATGATTGGTATTTTTGGTACTCATACCGGACGGGGTATGAGAACAGTCCGTTTCGCCCTCATACTGGACAGAATATTGAGGGATATTATTTTTAGCGTTCTTACTAGATAGGGTATGGGGACAACCAGTTAGTTGACAATGTTGGATGTTGGTTCATGCATAGTGGGACATCCTTATGGACCGCCATGGATACCAAGCAAATAAAAATAAAAAATTGTTATTCTTACTTACTTGAATATGAGATTATGATATTGTTGAGCTATTATTTTTATAGGTCAGTTTTAAAAATTTCACAATGGTAAGTATGCAATAAATGATTTTACTTATGATAAATGAATTTACTTAAACTAAGAGCTTAATTGGTTGTTTTTATAATTTTTACCAACCTTCAGTTTCTGTATCGATGAGTAGTGTGATATTCTTATTGGGTTAGTGTAGCTCATCCATTCATCAACTATTTCAAATCAAGAGAACCAAGATCCAGATCCCAATCAACAAGGGAGTTGTGAATAGTTTACCACCTGAACTCCTTAAAAAGCTAGTGAAGGTTATCTTAGGATACTTAGTTGTTTACTTTTCATATATTTCTTTAATTTTCGTTTGTTCTTTTAGAATAGACATTTTCGTAGCCATACTGGGTATTTTAAACTATTGTGTAAGGAATGAAAATCCTAACTCTATTATTCCGTTTCCGTATTAAGTTCATGTCTTTTTTTTTTTTAAGTTCTGGACCGTTACATGTAATCTTCAAATAGTTAATTCTTCTACTAAATAAAAGAACTCGATATTATTATATTTGTTATTATTATTATCATTATCATGATTGTGTCAAAACCCTTGAAATCCTTGTTAGGAGTTTTGAGTTATTACATATGAAGTTTCTTTATCTTTTTGGGATTACTTCTATAGGTCGATCGATTTAGAATTGTTAAATCGAGAATGAAGTAAATTTGATGCTCAATATATCGCAATAGTGGTAATCATTTTGACATCTCTTAGGGAAGAACCAAGTTTGACTTCACCATCTTTAAGAGAAATCTTTTTCTTCATTCTCATCTTTATGAAAAACAAAATATTTTGAAATTTATTATAGTTTCAAGTTAATTGGGCTTCATTTTGAACATTCACTTTGAGAAATAGATTTTTTGATTTTCTTAAAAATTTTGGGTTGTTAAATATATTACTTATTTTCTAACAAGATTTTGAGAGAAATTAAAGGCAAAAATATTTTTTTTTTCTTAAATCAAATGTGGAATTTCTAAAAAGGTTTCTCTTGTATATCCACTCTTAAAAAGAGATTATTCGAAAAAGTTTTTAAACATTCTTTGATTTTTAAATACTTGTCATGTAGTTATTTTGTAATATAATTATTTGAGAACTCAATAATAAAATCATATTTGTATTGAGTAAAATTTAAGCCCCAAAAGAGCTTCTTCTTGTATATTTATTTAGAGAGAGATTTCTTGATATTATTAAAATTCCTTGGATTTTAAATCCTATTTGTTTACTTGTTTTTAATAAGATTTTTTTTTTTCAAAAATTAAGTACAAAAATTCATCTTTTCTTCTTGAGGCAAATTGAAATTTAAAAATGTGCTTCTACTTATAATATTTATTATAAAAGATGGATTTCTTTTGATTTTTGAAATTCCACCATATAATATATTTTCTCTTCTAGAATTATTGAGCTTTATACATGAAATGGGGTAAAATTCTTGGGTTTTAGAAGAAGAAAAAAACATATTGTATAGTGAGGTAAACATCTTGTTAATTAACCATTTGCAAGAGCATTATTTGAGGATAGTGAAAATCTCAATTTAGTTATTTAGATAAAGGAAGTAAGCTTAAGATTGATGGACAAATCTTTATAGATAGAGTTTGTAATCTCTCTTTCCCATTCTCTTAAATTTATATATTTCATTTAAATTAAAAGTTATTAATAAATTTTAGTCATTTGAGTAATTTGCTCAGTTATACTTAATATTCTTTTTAAGTTATTTAAATTTTGAAAAACTCTATTTATTCCCTTTTTGGATTGTCTTAGATACTTGAGCCAACATATTTTTCTAGTTTTCTCTTAATCCTTTTTTTTTTTTTTTGTAAATGAGCTCCTAAATGTTATTTGAATGTTAAAACAAGAAGCCCCTACTTTTTAAAATTATTTAGATAAACTTATGTATAAAATATGTATTTAATTAAATTAATTAATTTAATGAGTTAGTTAAAATTTTTTTCGTGATATTTTTTAATACTTTTGTTAAAATCTTATAATTTATAATTTGAGCTTATAACTTAATCTGATTTAGTAACAAAAATAATTTAAATTGAATAGGTGAATTATAATCCATGGTGGATGAATTATCTAAATTTTAACCTATTTCTATCGTGGATGAATTATGAAAAATTAATTTAAATTTAATTTCTACAATTCATTTGATTTTGGTTAAAACATAATCTAAGCAAATATTTACAAAATATTTATAGCTGTTAAACCTAAAAAATTAATTTTGATGATTAAACATCTCTTAAGATATTATAATAATAATGTTTAATGAGCTTCTGTAATGTTTAAATTAACTTATTATGCAACACAAGCTTAAAACCATGAAGACAATAAATAAATATTTCAAAAAGATTTTTAGGGAAGGAAATCAAGTTAGAAATGTTTAAAAGTAATTGAAGAACTTTGAAATATTAAATAAATATTTAATGAAAGAAAAGAGTTACTTTTTCTTTATACATTTTATTGTGATTTTTGGTAAATTAGCTCAAAGAAAAGAGCTTCAAAATATACAATTGAAAATTTTTGAACTAATTTTAAAATGTTTTAATGTCTTAAAATTAATGTTCAATTAATATTGGCTTTTAAAATATTTTAAATATCATTTAAATTTTTATTTCAAATTACTCAAAATAATATCTAAAATTATCTCTTAAAGTTAATTAAAATTTTTAAAAAATATATTAAAACAAAATTATATGAGATAACAATATATATCACATTTTCTAGTTTCTAAAAGATGTATTTTTGCATGACATTAAACATAATATATGCA